GTCCTGGCCTGTAGATGAGTATAAACTGTAGAATCCAGGCCTGTAGATGAGTGTAAACTGTAGAATCCTGTCCTGTAGATGAGTGTAAACTGTCAACCCCTGGCCTGTAGATGAGTGTAAACTGTAGAGTCATGGCCTGTAGATGAGTGTAAACTTTAGAGTCCTGACCTGTAGATGAGTGTAAACTGTAGAGTCATGGCCTGTAGATGAGTGTAAACTGTAGAGTCCTGACCTGTAGATGAGTGTAGATGAGTGTAAACTGTAGAGTCCTGGCCTGTAGATGAGTGTAAACTGCAGAGTCCTGGCTTGTAGATGAGTGTAAACTGTAGAGTCATGGCCTGTAGATGAGTGTAAACTGTAGAGTCCTGACCTGTAGATGAGTGTAAACTGTAGAGTCATGGCCTGTAGATGAGTGTAAACTGTAGAGTCATGGCCTGTAGATGAGTGTAAACTGCAGAGTCCTGGCCTGATGATGTTGCTCTTCTGTATTGGTTCATTATTTTAAACAGTGACTGCTTTGTTTCCATTATGTATAACTGGTCACAGTCCTCCTGACACTTAACAGCATACACAACATTACTCTGTTTGCATACAGACAAGGAGTGGCCTCACTTGGGTACAGTCTATGGTACAGAATGCAGTCAATAACCTTGCCCTGCTCTAGATACAGCCTAGTTTTCAGGCACTTTATCAACTTCTTCTTGTAACCACTTCCTGGATCTCTTTTCAGCGGTTCCTATGAGGTGAAGTTGGGTTAAGTGCCAGGAGGACTGTGACCAGCTGTGGATGGACATCCAGTAATTACCGTACATTCAGAGTTTCACAAATTTTAATCCACTGAGACATTTTTCTAACTTTACAGACAAATTAACACGTACAGGTACAGGCAATAACATTATTTTGACAGTGGTTGAAAAAAACAAATCTTATTATAAAAATCAGCTCATCATATGCTGTGACTGACTTTCTGTTTCTGTGAGTAAATTAGGTAAGTATTATTGTAGTAGAGCAGTCCTACAAATACATCAGTAAATAGTTTATTGAATGTGAAGGTTTGATTCTTACTATGTAGACGTCACACAGGCTTTGTACCCAGAAAGATTGCAGGGCAGATGTGACAACATGCAGCTCATAAGCTTCAAAGGCCTGCTCACACTGTAGGACAGTGCTGTGAAGTCGAGAGCAGATCCACCGCTCCATGCTGCCCAAAGGGATTGTCTTAAAAAACACAACAAAATAAAAAGTCAATTGCAAGGATCAAATTACAACAAACACTGAATTTTCAGCTTAGGTTCCCTCATGCCTAGTTAAATTTCTTGCACCTCAGTCACATTCTTTTATTTACACAAAATATATTTTATTAACATTTATTTAACCAGTATTAACCACTAAGCAGACGTGTTGCTCAAATATAATCCTATATATGCAAATATGCCTATATATTTTACCAATTTAAGTCAATAGAGAGCATTATGGAAAACATGTGGACATCCATGTTAACCCTGAAATACCGCACCGACTACAGGATGCAATGACCTCTAATGAGTCTTTGATATTTGAGTTTAACCTCCAACAACTGTAACATTTGAACACTTTATTTTTTAACATCTCATGTATGGGTTTGGAACGTCAGCTGCCTTTGGTATCTGACATCAAGGATAGATGACTCTGGCTTGTCTGAGTGACACAACCTCTACATGGTTTATAAAAATGTAACTTCTAAAATAAGGTTGTGCAGCAGTTCCACAGTCGTGGCCCAAAGTGTTGGCACCCCAGAGATTTTTCCAGAAAATGAAGTATTTCTTCCAGAGAATCACTGCAATTCCATATAAAAATGTACTTTGTGTGTTTATTGGAACAAAACAAAGAAAAAAAAAGCCTAAACTGACATTTTACTTGAAATTATAGCAGCAATGGGCCTCATGCAAGAACATGTTCGTATTCTTATCCTAAATTTCTCTTACTTTTGTTCGTATGAAGGGTTCGTACAATCATGTCACGTCGGATTCAACAAACTTTTCTATCTTCAGGAAAAGTGTGTAGATGAGCTGCGTAAACTGATGAATGTGTATCAGGTGTTCGTGCACAAGGAGAGGTGATTTACATAATTACCACCGCAAAAACACCATAAGGATGTACGTTTCCTGCCACACATACCAGGAAGTGTCCATTCATAAATGACATCGCAAAGTAAAAAAAGAAGAACTTTATGC